CCCCGACATTGCCCAGCAAGTAGGGGCCCCGATCCGGAAGTCGAGGCGATCCGAAGCGATACGACTAGCGGACGGAACACTCGTACAGACGACCGGAACCATGACGACAGACGTACAAACGGAGGACAGAAACGTGAGACACGGCCTGCGAGTCCTGCCAAAGCTCGGCAGCCCCATGCTGATTGGAGTGGACTTGTGGGCCAAGCTACAGGTGACCCTGCCACCGCCACCGACGCGCGCGACACGGACCGAACCGTCGATCTGTACGATCGAGGACGGACTAACGCCACGAACCCCGGACGAGACCACGCGACTGGAACAGTTCCTGAAACGGGAATTCCGCCTCTTCGACAAGATGCAGGGACCGATGGACCGGGCGTACCACGACATTCGACTGACCGACCCACGCCCCATTAAGCAGCGGTATCGGCCCCGGAACCCCGCTATGCAGCGAGTAATCGACGAGGAGGTCGAGAAGATGCTGCAGGAGCGCATAATCGAGCCCTCTCACAGCGCGTGGAGCTCGCCGGTGGTGGTGGTGCGGAAAAAGGATGGGTCGCGAAGATTTTGTGTGGATTTCCGAAAACTGAATAGCGTCTCGGAACCTGATGCCTACCCGTTGCCGCAGGTCGCCGCTACCCTCGACAAACTCCGAGGGGCAAAATATCTGTCCACGCTGGACCTGCGGAGCGGGTATTGGCAGGTTCCCCTGTCGGCCGCGAGCCGCCCCTTGACTGCGTTTGCCGTGCCGGGACGAGGATTAATGCAGTTTCGAGTAATGCCCTTCGGTCTGCACTCCGCACCCGCCACGTTCCAACGGCTGCTGGATGGCATACTCGGCCCTGAGCTCGAGCCCCATGTACTCGTCTACCTAGACGATATCATTATCGTGAGCCGGACCTTCGAGGAACATATCACGCGGCTCGGGGAGGTCTTCCGGCGGCTCCGGGAAGCACGACTGCGCCTCAATACGGAGAAGTGCCGTTTCTGTGTGGGCCGCCTGCGGTACCTGGGGCATATCGTGGACCGAGAGGGTATCCGCACCGACCCAGAAAAAGTGAGCGCGATATCGGAATGGCCGGCGCCCACGACCGTACGAAAGGTGCGGCAGTTCCTCGGGCTCGCGTCGTGGTACAGGCGGTTCATCCCCGGTTTCTCCGCGCTAGCCGCCCCGCTCACGCGACTCACCCGGAAGGATGTGAAGTGGAGGTGGGGCGCGGACGAGGACGCCGCGATGACCGCACTGAAGAAGCGGCTGACCACGGCACCGGTACTCGCGTGCCCCGATTTTCGGGAGCCCTTCCAGCTGCAGACGGACGCAAGCACGGAGGGGCTGGGAGCCGTCCTCACGCAGCGGCTGGAGGGGGCCGAACGCGTGATCGCGTACGCGAGCCGAACATTGAATCGCGCCGAGAAAAATTACAGCGCGACCGAGTTGGAGTGCCTCGCCGTAATCTGGGGAATAAGGCGAATGCGCGACTACCTGGAGGGCTATCGCTTCACGGTGATCACAGATCACCAGGCCCTCCGGTGGCTGCGCAGCCTGGAGACACCCATCGGGCGACTGGCCCGCTGGGCCCTCGAACTACAACAGTACGAGTTCGAGGTGCAATACCGGCG